TCGAACAGAGGAGCACCTTCAGCCAGAGACTGATTGCTCCTAAATGCACCACTGAGCGCCACAGGAAGTCATTCTTACCTGTGGCCATTAAACTGTACAACTCCTCCCTCTGATGATCGGACTCATTTGGCTATTTATAAAACAAAACACACAATATAATTACTCATTCTTATTTCATTTATAACGCTACAACCATTTCATTGTATATTGTATATATTTCAGATTGTCTACTTTACTATTTTATTATTTATTTTATTTTATTGTCTACTTTAATATTTTATTTTATTTTATTTTAATGTCTACTTTAATATTTTATCTTATTTATTTCATTGTCTATTTTAGTATCTTATTTATATCTTCATCTTTATCTCTTGTTTCCATTCATGCTGTATTTCTATTTCTACTTTGCACGGAGCATTGGAACAAAAACAATTTCCCCCCGGGGATTAATAAAGTATTCTGAATCTGAATCTGAATCTGAATGTATGTATATAATTTTTTTTGTTTGTTTTCAAATATTTTGATTTGTTGGATCCCCATCCCCGCTCCTGTCCCACCAGTAGGCCTCAGCTCCTGACAAGGTTCCCTTACCCCCTTCCAGTATGAATGGTGTTTTGTAGTTTTAAAAGAACATAAATATATATATTTTTGTAATAAAGTGTACCCTTTTTTAAAGATTTGGAACCACGTCTCTTGTTCATGAGTAAAACGAACCTGTGTGTCTTACTTATATAAATTTTTAATAATTCTTTAGGTAAAATTCCCAAAGTGGCACTGTCAGGCAACCACCTAAACGTATAATAGATCCTTGTATTTGTAGCCTGGCTTTCCTGATTGTTTTTTGTTCTCAGAACAAAAATCAAGTGAGCAGCAGTTTAAAGCTCTGCACAAACTACATTTGATTGGTCTGAATCCTGTCAATTAACTGGTTCTGCCCATGTACGATGAATGGGCTGCAGGTAGAACTTCAGCAGCTCAGATTAGCTGCTGTGTAGTCTCTATATACATTCAGTGAATGTAGAGTCTGTAGGCAAACCCCGGAGATCTTGCCTCCGGAAGAAGAGCGGAAAAGCCCTGGTTTCCGGTGCTAGGCTGTTTGTAGTCCGCGTGATATTGATCAATCACGTTTGCAGTTGTTGCCAGGTTAAACGGTCCGTGCGGTGAACTAATGAGGCGGAACATAATTGGCATCACTGCAAACTCTGAATCCATCGCAATGGTTCAGCATATTTACTTATATATGAACGGAAGCCCGAAACGGTCGCCAAGGACAATAACTAAGGGGTCCGCTCCACACACAGTAGCCTATCTGGTCGGCGAGCGTGCGCTGTAGCCTACCTCCTGCACGTTGGCCTGCGGTGGGATGTAAACACCGACCAGAATGAATGAAGCAAACTCACGGGGGAGTAAAAAGGTTTGCAGTTGATGAAAAAAAGATTCCAGATCAGGAGAGCAGTGCTGCTGGATCACTGGTATGTCATTACACCAGCCACTGTTAGTGTAAAAACAGATACCTCCACCTTTAGTTTTGCTGGAGAGTTCCGTGTTACAATCCGCTCTAAAGAGTTGGAAGCCTGCCAGCTGCAGCGCAGAGTCCGGTATCAATCCACACAGCCACGTCTCCGTGAAGCACAAAACTGCAGATGTAGAAAAGTATCTGTTTTTCACCATCAGTAGCTGAAGTTCATCCAGTTTACTGGCCAGCGAACGCACGTTGGAGAGAAATATACCTGCATGGCAGCGTTGTGCAGTGTCCGCGTTGGCAGAGACGCACAAGCACACCGGCACGTTTCCCCCTCCTCCGGTGTTTCACTGCATGAGCAAAGGTGAGGGCACCTTTGGCCAAAAAGCCCAATAAATCCACTGAAGGCTTGAGAAAAGTGGGATAAAAATCCACTGGAGTTGTTCCCCTGACAAAAAAAAGCCTTACAGCGTCACTGGCCAGAGTGGGCCTGTGACCTGTCAGTCAACTTGCCTGACATACTTTTGATTGGCCCCGGGCCATCGGGCCATTGCTTATGTCGAACCCTGCACACACACACACACACACACACACACACACACACACACACACACATACACGTCAACCTTGCTAACAGTGGACTGTCACTCTAATTTGCCAAGAGGGGACTTGTGTTTCCAGTCATTTTTCCTTCTCCGCTGCAAGGATACTAAGGACAGAGGGATGTCGTATGCAGTAAAGCCCTCTGAGACAAATTGTGATTTGTAATATTGGGCTTTATAAATAAAATTGATTGACTGATTGATTTTGAAAAAACAAAAATGAATAGAAATTTTTCTTTAAAGGTCTTTTACCACAATATTACTTAAAATGTGGTTTTTGATCTTTTTTTAAAGATCAAAAACCTTGACCTATCTAACAGGGGACATGCAAATAGAGTACTTCAGTGGAGCTGTCCATACCCATTCTTTCACCTCATGAATGTCTCTTTACTGCCAAGACTCCTAACCCTAACCCATTTAAACATTTCTCTGCAAATACTGATACAAATACTACAAAAACAATCACGGTCACTTAAACTGAGAATAAAAAAAGTTTTACCTTCAGGTCAGAAGAATCTTGGCTGTATGCACTAATATCAAAAACTGCAGTATCAGCAGCAAAGCTGACTTTATGTAGGCTTTGATCCTATAAAATAATCCTTAAAATTAAATTTTAATCCTGTGGATTACAAATTTTGCATTTGATTTTAACAACTTAATTGGTGTCGGTCAGGAGTTAAAACGTTTCCCAATCTTAGGCAGGTTTTAATCATCTGTCGACTACACCTTGTTGTGGTTGTTTGAGCATCTTGAACGCCTTCACTTCAACTCATTCATGAACATAGTAAGGTCAGATTAAAGATTCTCTTTTTTAATAAGGATAATTTGCTGTGCTAATTTGCTCTTCGGTTCTTATTCATCCATAACTGTGTATTAATGGTGCTTCAGTCATTCTTTACAAGAGGTGACCTTCTTTAATAGAAAAATGTATTCAATGTTGATTTGAAGCTTCCATAATTGTTGTCAGAAATGATTCCTCAACATGTACAGTTTAAATGAAATAGACACTGACATTCTAATGATGAGTTTACCGCAGCCTATATCCAAACCAACATAAAATGAAAGCAGGCTTTTTTGCTTTATCTTTAGTCAATGAGAAATGAATACAGCATTTGTAGGGTCCTTTGTAATGCTGCATAATTAGACCGACATCAGATATGTTCCATCTTGTCTGCTCATCAATACATTTAAATCTTTACGTCATACATATTGCAGCCATCAGGAAAAAAACAATATGACAATATTTCTGTGTGTATTTGTACTTGCTAATAGCAGAAGACCAACTAAAGGCAAATTATTTATTTTCCTCTGCAGAGTCAAAGAAGGGAAAAAATTACAAAACACTGAGTTTCTTGTTTTCTGTCAAACTTTGACACATAACTACAAACAATTATAATGTCTTTTTCTGACCTAATGTACACATCCATGCAGGAGTGTGAATGCCACTCCATACCATCAAACAGGGGATATATGTCATTTTGTGGGGGGAGAGACTGCAAGTCATTCTGTACAATCCAAGTGGGGACCATCTGTTCTGTTTTAGAGCACAAAGTTCAAAGCACAATTCAACACATGAAACCCTATTTGCAGGTGTGCTGTAGACACAGACACACCAGGTGTGTTTCATTGATTATTTAAATCTCCCTACATGCTGAGTTTAATTCAGTTTGCTCTGTCCTATCAAGTTCATAACTACAGTTTTTAATTTTACAGCTTAAATGAGCCATGATATTTGTGACATTGACATTACTGTGTGCATGGAAACAATTAAAATACTGAAAGCAGTCTCACCATTAAAGTAAATGGTTCAAGAAAACAGTCACACGTCAAAACAACACACAATAAAGAAATCACCTGGAAAGCTTGTACTGCTTAACATGATTTAGAAGGCAAAATAGCCTACAGGGACTGGTAAAGGTAGAGCGAAATGTCTTTGTGGGTGCAGGTCTCTAAAATGGGTAAAAATAATTCATACAGGTGGGCTTTGTGCAAGGTGAAAATATGTCTTTTTCTGAACTATAGGAGTGTGAACGACGCTCTATACTATTTAAAAGGATAGTGCACCCATAAATGAAAATTCAGCCATTATGTACTCACCCATATGCCGACAGAGGCCCTGGTGAAGTTTTAGAGTCCTCACATCCCTTGTGGAGATCGGTGGGGGGAGGGGCCAGCACACCTAATGGCTGACGGCGCCCCAGACTAACGTCCAAGAACACAAAATTGAATCCACAAAGTATCTCCATACTGCTCATCCGTAGTGATCCAAGTGTGCTGCAGCCGCGACATAAAAAGTTGTTTCGAAAAACGTCATATGAACTCTGTTTTTAGCCTCACTGTAGCTTGTAGCTCTGACTACTTCCTGTGCTCCACGCTCCAGTTCTGATGTTTACCCAAATTAGGGGACATTACTTCAAGTTGTAACTACAATGGCTTACTCCACGCCTGGCTAAAAACACCCCAGATAAGCTGCACAATGGATGAAGAGTTGAGGTCATTAAAACTCAAGTCCTGCTCCAGAGGGAAAAACAGAGAAGTCAGATTGAAGAAAATAAGTATTATATTGTTTGTTGGGGTTGCTGTTTTTCTATGCTGAGACTGAGAATTACATAACTCACATTCAAATATATTAGAAAAGAAATGCGTAATTTAAAAAAAAAGTAAATTAGAAATTTACCAACATCACATGTTAGATTTACCAAATATAGAATGCACAGATTAATGAATATGTGATGTTCATGTTATTGGCACATGTGCTCACAAAACTGAAAACATCAAACTCTGACACATAACTACAAACAATTATGTCTTTTTCTGTTCTCCACCATCTAACAGGGGACATGTGTCATTTTGTGCTAACAAAGACGGGACTTACTGCAAGTCATTCTGTACAATCCAATCACACACACACACACACACACACACACACACACACATTTTCTCTAAGAATCAGAAATAGTTTATTGCCAGGTAGGTTAGCACATACAAGGAATCTAACTTGGAGATTTGGTGTATAACAAACAGTGCAAAAGTCAAGAGACAGAATATAAAATAGAAAAAAGGGGAAGAAGGGGAGGTGATTCATAAAAAAATATTGGTTTTCAGAGTGGAAGAGCTGAACAGTTTTTGCAGGATTGTTGGCCAGCTAAAACATTCAGCATCAAAAACAGTCAACAGTCAATCTATATAGCTATTGCTCCTTTTCTTTTGACCTTTTTCTCCCAGAGATTTCTGTCAACCCAATAAAGCATATTAAAGACAAAATGTAAAATAAGGTCCAGAGCCAAAAGTCCCCCCGCCTGAAAAAGACATGCTCTATTAAGCAGTATATGTTTCTCTCTTTTTTATTTTATTTACATCCAAGGCTGTAAAAAGGCTGATGGTTAATTTACTGTAATGATCTTCCTCTGAAGGAGTGAGAACCGCTCAGCATGCATCAGGTGGACAATGGGGGAAAGTGAGGGCAAACACTTAGAATTCAAGGAGTTTTACCTTACAACATCCTTGGAAATTTTTATACAGCTAATTTTTTTCTCAAGCTTCCCCAGGCCTGTGTCCACATAGCATTTTTTTCTCAGTGCCGGCATCTTTTTTCAAATGTTCCCAATGAGGAGAGCGTGTATACAGCCTAGAAAGAAAGTGCAGTGCCCAACATTTTCAGAGGTTTTTTGTGTGGTCACTCCAAGCACTTGAAGTTAAAAATCTCTGAACCTTTCAAAAAGGTGCTAGTGTTGTCACTGCTGCTGTTTTAGCTGCTGTCTTTCCTGAGCTGTATGATATGTCAGTCCAGCCTCCATTCTCACTTCCAACTCATCAAATACTTTTTTCTGATTTCTGTGTCAGAGAACAACACTCAGAAGCACCTTTAGAGGTGGTATCACACTCACCAGGCATGTCAGTTTTAGGGGTGGTGGGCAACAACACAAGCCATCAAATACTGGCTCTTTGTCAGTGGATGTCAGCGTCAGACATGAAGGCAGAAAGACAACCTGATATGTTCCAGTTAGCAGCAATTTGCAATATCCTCAGCAACTACTGTAATGTAAAGAGCTACAAAGGCCATATAGGGCAGATGGGAGGAGAGGTGGATGGGTCAAACAAGCTCTGGAGTTTCACCCTGGAGCCCACTGTTCAGCCAAACCATGATGTTTTTTTTTGTTGTTGTTTTTCTCAACCTGAACATGTGCTTTTGTTGCCTAAACCTAAGAAAATCAACGTAAAAACGAACTGTTAAACTTACGCTGTAACTTTATTTTGAAAAAAAAAAAAAAAAAACTGTATGCATGTAATGAGCAAAACTGTACATTTCCCATGAAAATTAAAGTATCTTTTGAAAACACATAATGCATGAAACACGCATAAATTGACATGTTGTCCCTGAACATCTTAAACTGACACAAGAGGCTACCTAGTGCATCATATTCTGACTTGTATGTCCACTGACAAAGCGGTGGTATTTGACCAGTTGGGATGAAAATGTGTTGGTCAGTCAGAAACTACAAAAGCAAAGACAGAAAAGTCCATTTGTGGGAGCAAATGGGCTGGACACTGAATATTGATGGTGGGTGTTGTGTTTCCATTTTAAGCTTGTTAACTGTGTAGTCAACCCTCTGTTAATGTAGCGTTATGTTAACTAACAAGCTAACAATAATGCCATGATGTCAGAAAAAAAGCCAAATGCAGCATGTCATTAAACCAAGCACCCTGCCACTGTTTTTCTGCCAAAGAAAAACACTATGTGACCACAGGCTTGAGATGCTTAAGTAGTTTCATACAAGTGGTAAAAGTGTATAATCTTCACTTAGAATTCTTTATCATTTTTTTTCTGATTATCACATCTACCAGATACTTCAGCTGCATCATCTTTGCCCATCAGTGAAGTACTGCCTCCATCTAGTGGCAAAAAACAAAGACAACACTCTGATAAGGCTATTTTGTCCCCTTTTCCTCTCCCTCTTTTCCCTCTTCACTTGACTGCATTACTTTCAGAGTGAAAGTCAACTTACTGGGAAAAAAAAAAAAAGCTTGGCGCCCACTAGCTCACCTGGTAGAGTGTGCACCGCATATTCAAAGGCTGAGTCCTCTCTGCAGCGGCCGCAGGTTTGATTCCAACCCAACCTTCATCCCCACTCTCTCTCCCTCTTTCGGGCTATATCTGCCCTAAAGGCAAAAAAGCCCCAAAAATATCTTTAAAAATATAGAAACAGGCTTTAAAGGCAAAACTTTTCATTCAAAAATGACAAGAAGTAATGTGTAAGAGTCAGCTCTTGTAGAGATTCATCACCACACTCCACAGTTTCTTGTTTTTTCTTCAGCTTAATTTCAGCAGCACTCTGGAAAGATGTGAATCCACCTCACAGAGAGCAGCGATCAAAACTGAACTGGCTTCAGTTCCCTTGTTTCGCACCGTGTCGATCACATGTCGTGCTTTGTCTGCTCTGACTTTTGTTCTGGCTGACTGCATTTCTTCATCATTTATAACATGACGCTCAAGGAGTTTATCCAGAAGCTTGTTCAGATTAGGCTCAGACACTCTGCTTACAAACTCTGCCCGAACTGAGAACAGCCTCTTGTCTGCTGGGACGTTGTCCTCTGCTTGGACACTGTCCTCTTCTGGGACATTACTCTGTGGAATGTCCCTTTTTGAACCTGGAAGATCACCAGGGAAAAGAAATTTGTTTAATAATCAATTTGAAATAGATCGCTTAGAAATTTCAAATGTAACTGAAACTACAGGTCGTTTTTGTCTGATACAGCAACATATCTGCTCTGTACATCATTTGTCCTGTATTCTCCTTTAAGAAATAGTCAGAATCCAAATGGGAGACATTTACATTTTATATTTTTTTAGGTTTCATCAGGGCACCTCCTAGTTCTGCATTAATCTGTTGATATGAAGACCTTCTTTTGATACAGTAGTCCATAAGATATTTTATTAAGCAGTGATGTCAGTGTTGTATCATAGGGAGAGCTGCTACACAACACAAGAGCAACAACTCTCAACAACAACCACATTACTGAGGTGTTGTAGCAACTCATAATGTAATAATGGCTCAATGTAATAACGCTTCATAATGTGATAACAGAAATGTAATAAAAGTTCATAATGTAATAATCGGCTCATAATGTAATAAAATCATTAGCTTATAACGTAATAACAGCTTTGTGCATAATGTAATAATGTAATAACTTATTACATTATGAGCCTTAGTGGCGCCACTCATAATGTAATAACAGCTCATAATGTAATAATGGCTTATATTGTGAGAAAAGTGTTGCACTATCATCATTTTTAGGTCAAAACTGCACACACTGAAAACGAGAGTGCACTTAAGGGCAGAGGTCTGTGTTTGTGTTTGACTATGATTTGTTTATAGGTGGCGCGACAGTAACCAACTCAAAAGCCAGCTGGAGAAGAGGATGGATTAGGGAAGAAGGAGGGGGACTGTAGTTCATGTAGTTTAAAAGAGCATTTCCTTTGTTTACTATTGCTACAATAAATGCAGGACACAATAACTTCTACAATAAAAACACTTTTAAGATTGGTCTTTTCAAATAAGTAAGTGAACACTCTCTCCTTCCATACAACCTAGTGAAGACCTTCCAGTCAAAATGTTGCTGTTATTTTATTGTTGGTCTTAATGCCAATTTAATAAAGACTTTTAATAAGCATTGTTTTCCTGGTACTTAGTTTAAATACATGATAGCAGTGTAACATATTCATTCAATTTACTTTATTTTGCAACTTGTGCAAGAATGAGAAGAGCGTTTTAGAACCATGTAATAACAATGGACCAGCTCAAAAGTTCTTAAAACGTAAACACAGCCTGTCAGGACACCCAAGTAAAACATAAGTCCAAATAAATTTAACTAAACAATATGCATTAATCAATTAATCAATCAATCAATCAATTTTATTTATAAAGCCCAATATCACAATCCACAAAAAAATGGTAGAAACCTCAGGAAGAGCAACTGAGGAGGGATCCCTCTTCCAGGACGGACAGACGTGCAATAGATGTCGCATAAATAATACATAACAATAAATCATACTTGCCAACAAAAATCAAGTCCAGGGGGCTCCATTTGTCAGTGACTGTTCCAGTGTTCACTCAGATCAAGGCTTAACGAGTTGTTGTTTTTTTTTTAAAGAAAACTTTACTTCTTCCAATGAATGTTTTTAATATGGATCCATCCAAAGGATATATGTTTAGTCACGATCCAGGCTGTAATCCACCTGGCATTTTGGCTGAAGAGCTGCCTGATATTGGATGCAAGGCCACTATTGCCTCCAGCCACTCTGTATAACCTACTAATACTTATGCAGCAGTCTTCATCCTTCTTAATATTTTATCTTTTCACCAACTTCTTACCTGCAATAATCAGACAGTGGAATTGAGCATGGCATTCTCATAGGCCCAAAATACCTAACACGGGTGCCACCTAGTGGCTCAACTTTATACATCTTACATAATAAAATGTGAGAATGCAATTACGATTAAATAATTCTTGGTTTCTCTAATTTAGTTTACTATGCACTGAAACCCATGCCGTTTGCTTTATTTGCACCTTTAAGATGTAAAAATGATGATAATGCAGCAGTTTTCTCACAATATGAGCCATTATTGCATTATGAACTGTTATTACATTATGAACTGTTATTACATTATGAGTGACGCCAGTAAGGCTCATAATGTAACAGGTTATTACATTATTGCGTTATGCGCAAAGCTGTTATTACGTTATGTGCTCATGATTTTATTACATTATGAGCCGATTATTACATTATGAACTTTTATTACATTTAAGTTATTACATTATGAGCCGTTATTACATCATGAGTTGCAACAGTTGTCTTACATTACGTTTTTCCGTATCTGAATCGACGTCAGAGGATGTCACTTGCTGTACAGATTGTAAAGCCTCTTGAGGCAAATTGTTATTTGTGATACTGGGCTATATAAATAAAATCAACTTGACCTGAAATGTAACTTAGGTCAGTTTAGATGCTGGTCCTTGCTCCTTGATAACACAAACAACTGTGTCTCCCCAGTACATGTAAGCTAAGTTTGTCTCATTCATTATTCACGGTATAACATTGGCACTCTCTTGTTCCACCATGTAACACGGGATCTCTCTGCAGTTCCTCACAGTGTAACACCAGCAGTCTCTTGTTTCCTAAGGCGGGACACTTACGTTCCTTTTTTCCTTACATCATAACACTGGAACTTTGTCGTTTCTTACAATACAACACATACACTGTGTAATTACCTGTGGTGTAACACTAACATTCTGTAATTCTCTAAGGTGTAACATCAGTACAATGCCATTACATGTAACATAGGCATTTTCTTGTTCCTTACTAAGTAGCACCGACACTCTGGCAGCCTGCCAGCTGCTGTTAGTCGATATGCCCCACCCACTGGGCCAAGAAGAAAAGGAGCATATTTCCAGTTTTTTCCTTTCATTTTAATGATAAAAACTCTAAAAAAAACTAAAAACATTTTTGTCAGAAAAAAGGATAACTAAATCTGATTTTCAGTGACTGTAATAACAAGAGGACAGTCAAGTGTCTGTGGCTATTTCAACTGTTTATAACAGCAGGGCAGAGGACTGAACTAACTTTGTAGACAGCAGAGATTAACAGTAGAAAGTTTAAAAAAACACTTAGAAGAGAGCATTTGAGAGATTTATGAGTATGGATAAAAACCAAGTTACGTTGACAAGCATCCCTGCAACCATGCTGGTCACTTTTCATTTGAGCTGTAGGTTCATCTGTGCTTTTGTTTATTCAAACACCACTACTGCAGCCCAAACAATAATGACAAAAGAGAGAAATACAGCATTACTTTGTATAATTCTACTATGAACAAAATCTAAGACCAGGTTGTGGCTCAGGAGGCAGGGCCGGTTGTCCACTAATTGGAAAATATCTGGTTTCTTCTTGGTTTGTTAATGTTTTTTACAGTTACTGTAAACTGTGATTTAAATGGTCGAGTCAGTTTCTAAAATTCGCTCACATTGTTTTCTTTTCTGTGGTAGTATAGGTAAGGTAAAGGAGGTTGTTCGGTTAGTGTGGGGAGCAGTGAGACCTGGCATTAGGGGAGTGTCTCTGGGACGCCAGAGATCACTGTCTAGCCTCCTGGAGGTGTCGTGGGACTAACTAGACGAAACACCGGTGAAAGGAGGTTCCCACCCGATGACCCCAAAGACATGTTAGTTATCACTGCTCACGGGTCTGTATAGTTAAGCCTTGCCATAATAGCTTATCGTAGGGCTTAGGAGGATTATTCACTGAGTGCTGATCCCTTTTTTTTTTTTTTTTATTAGAGCACAAACTTCTTGTGTTTATTTGAATTCAGAACTAGCCCAGCTAGTGACTGCTGTGAATAGGGCAGCTGACAACAAGGGAAAGACCATGTGACCGCTTGGAAAGACAGCTGACAGGAGGGAAAAGACCCCAGCGGTGCTGGCATGGGTTAGCAACCCATGGTAGCAGTGGTGAGGCCTAGCAGCCTTATTACAACCAAAATTAGCTACAGCCAACATAGGGAAAATACCCCAAGAGTCAGCGAGAGCAGGGGTGGAAGATGACTCACAGGTGGATTACACGGTAACAGACATTGGAAAGGACACGACTATGACTTGGACCGGTGACTCAGTGAAGGATAGGGGCACGGACCTATCCACCAGTGCTAGAATTAGCAGCACTCAGGGCAAGGTGAGCGCATCTGTAGAGGGCAAAAGTAGCATAGTTGAGAACAAGATGCTTCAGGTTTGTCCTTGCGGCTGGCAGAAAGTAACATCAGTGAAAGGCCTCAGAACTCATCAGGGAAAGAAGAAGTGTGTGGCAAAGAAAGGGCAGAGTAGCCGCATTGATCAGTACTTCCTAAGAAGTCAGTCGAGTCAGTCGGATGAAGTCCAGCGGCAGGTAGAAAACCACAGTTCGCAGGATATCAGTAACGCTGCCACTGAGGAGGAGGGGGTAGTAAGAGAGGATGCAGGTGACACTGAGGCCAGTATGCTAGCCAGAGAAAGAACTATGGAGCAAAAGGTTAGAGTTAGATGGCCTAGAGCAAATGACAGTAAAGAATGGGAGATAGTTAATAGAGACTTGTCAGTAATCTTGAGTAGGCTTAGAGGAAATGCAATACAAAGGTTAGAAAAGATGGGAGATATAATGTATTCATATGGTGTAGAGAGGTTTGGGGTGCATGAGAGAAAGAGGAGTGAGAGGGTACAGTCAGGTAAGTCTAGGCGGCAGAGAGAAATAGAGAAGTTAGTCAAGGAAAGGAGACAGTTAAGAAAGCAGTGGAAAAAGGCTACAGAAGAAGAAAGGGAGGGAATTAAGGTGTTGCAAGAGGAGTTGAGAAGCAGGCTAGCAGTTCTTAGAAGGGCGGAGCATCTCAGGAAAAAGAGGAGGAAGAAGGAATATGCTAGGACAGGTTTTTTCAGGGACCCTTTTAAGTTTGTTAAAGGATTGTTCAGCCAGGAAAAGGGAGGGCAGCTTAAAGCAGAAAGGTTAGAGGTTGAAGAATATTTGAGAAACACGTATTCAGATTTGGAGAAGAATAGGATAGTAGGTTTCCCACCTGATATCCCTCCATTAGGAGGGATAGAGCATGAGATGGATGTCAGGCCACCTAGGTGGAAGGAAGTTCAGGAGGTGGTCAGGCGTGCAAAGGCTTCTTCGGCCCCAGGGCCTAATGGAGTCCCCTACCGGGTTTATAAAAGTGCGCCTGATACCCTTAAATTTTTGTGGAAACAGCTAAGAATAGTTTGGGAAAAACAAATTATACCAAGAGCATGGCGTAGGGCAGGGGGTGTCCTCATTCCTAAGGAGAAGGAGTCTGTGGACCTTAGCCAGTTCCGGATGATTTCTCTCTTGAATGTGGAGGGGAAGATTTTCTTTAGTGTAGTAGCGCAGAGACTAGCTAGCTACTTAGAAAGGAATAGCTTAATAGATACCATGGTGCAGAAGGCAGGAATACCAGGTTTTTCAGGGTGTTTAGAGCATACTAGCATGATCTGGCACCAGATTCAGGCAGCGAAGATTAACAAAAGGGACCTACATGTAATATTTTTAGATCTTGCAAATGCGTTTGGTTCAGTACCGCACAGCCTCATTTGGAGTGCGTTTGACTACTTCAGAGTGCCACAGGTAGTTGTTAACTTAGTGAAAGCATATTTTCAGGATATTAGGTTGTGTCTAAGTACAGCAGGTTTCACAACAGGTTGGCAGAGGCTAGAAATAGGCATCATGGCAGGGTGTACAATTTCTCCATTAGCATTTACTATGGCAATGGAAGTAATCATCAGGGCTTCTAAGTGGGTGGTAGGTGGGGAGAGACGGCAGAATGGGTTGCATCTTCCACCAGTTAGGGCTTACATGGATGACATGACACTGGTGACCACAACAATGCCATGTACAAAGAGGCTACTAGAGAAGGTAAATAAGAACCTCAAGTGGGCCAGCATGAAAATCAAGCCTAGTAAATCTAGAAGCATCTCGATATGTAGAGGGAAGTTAAGTGATAGGAAGTTTGTCATAGATGATGAGGACATCCCAACAATTAGGGAAAAGTCAGTAAAGAGCTTAGGTAGGTGGTACAATGTAGAGTTGAATGATAAGGAACAGGTGGTGAAATTTAGAAAAGATGTGGCTGAAGGATTGGATAGAATAGATAAATCAGAACTTCCAGGAAAGTTGAAGTTGTGGTGTTTGCAATTTGGGCTATATCCTAGGTTAATGTGGCCATTGTCAGTTTATGAAATTCCAATATCTGTTGTGGAGAGAATGGAAAGGTCGGTTAGCTCCTACATTAGGAAGTGGTTGGGCGCTCCTAGGTGCCTAAGTAGTGTTGCATTGTATGGAAAAGGGATACTTCAGCTGCCAGTATCTAGTTTAACAGAGGAATTTAAATGTACCAAGGTCAGGACAGAGCTCTTGTTATCTGGGAGTAAGGACGTGGTAGTTAGGAGTGTGGTTCCAAATCCAACCAAGGGGAGGAAGTGGAACCCAAGATCGGCAGTTCAGGAGGCAGAGGCAGCTCTTAGACATGCAGAGATTGTAGGTAATGTTCAGTTTGGCCGGGGAGGCCTGGGGCTTGGCTCAGGTAAACCGGTATGGAATACAGCAGGCCTCAAAGATAAAAGAAAGCTGGTTGTAGAACAGATACGCAGACAGGAAGAGATAGTAAGGGGTGCAAAGGTAGTGGCCCAGGCTAAACAGGGACAGTGGTTGAATTGGGAAAGTGTAGAGAAGAGGAAGCTTAGTTGGAGGGACCTGTGGAGTATGGAGGAGAATCGTATTAGATTCCTGGTAGGGGCTACATACGATGTGTTACCAACCCCCCAGAACCTAAAACTGTGGGTAAATGAGGACCCATCATGCCCATTGTGTTCACGTACCGCAACTTTAAAGCATATTTTGTCAGGCTGTAAAGTTAGCTTGTCACAAGGCCGATATACATGGCGACATAATCAGGTGTTGAAATGTTTAGCTGCAGGCATCGAAGGGAAACGAAGACAGGTGAATTCAGAAGGTGTTAAGGATAGGGGCTTAGTAATTCAGTTTGTCCGTGAGGGAGAGAAATACAGAAGGGATAAGTTAGTGAGGAGGCAAGGGTGTGGCCGCCTAGAAGGTGCTTGTGATTGGGAAATGCAAGTAGATTTAGGGGGAAAGCTTGTTGTTCCTCAGGAAATAGTCTGTACCAGGCAGAGGCCTGACTTAGTGTTGTGGTCAGTGAGTCAACAGATAGTTTATTTCATTGAGCTGACAGTTCCTTGGGAAGACTCAGTGGAAGAAGCCTATGAAAGAAAAAAGCTTAGATATGCAGACTTAGGAGCAGAAGCTGAGCAGCGAGGATGGAAGACTAGGATTTGTCCAGTGGAAGTGGGGTGTAGGGGATTCATAGCAAGATCAACTGTCTCACTCCTGGGGGAACTCGGAGTGCGGGGACAGAATTTGAGGAAGACAGTGAGGGAAATGTCAGATGAAGCAATTAAATGCAGCCAGTTTATCTATTACAGAAGAAATAATGTCAGCTGGGGGCCAGCAGGGGGAACTACTAAGCAGGGCACATAACTCCTTGAGATCAGGTGGAGAGATCCACTTCCTGTCAGGAGAAATCCAGGAAGAGGAAGTATTTAAGTGTGGGAGTGGCCTATTGGAATCCATTTTGTTTGAGGCCATGCGGCAAGGTGAGTGTGCTTGCTGATCCTGTAAGTCCAGTTAGCTCCTTTAACTTTAGCTTATATTGTAGTTATGCTATGTAGTGTGTGAAATAGAGTATGGTGAATGTGACAGGAAAGCTAGTATCAGCATTGCTTCTGCCTGGAGCTCGCATGTATGGAGCCTGGGTTTGGTTGAAGATGGCAGTGCTGTTTGGGCTGAGAAAGCCATGTGTAAGTAAGAAGGAAATCCAGGAAGAGGAAGGTTATTTAAGTGTGGGAGTGGCCTATTTGAATCCATTTTGTTTGAGACCATGCTGCAAAGTGAGTGTGTTTGCTGATCCTGTGAGTTCATTTATCTCCTTTAACTTTAGCTTACATTGTAGTTATGCTATGTAGCGTGTGAAATAGAGTATGGTGAATGTGCTAGTAAAGGTAGTATCAGCATTGCTTCTGCCTGGAGCTCGCATAAACGGAGCCTGGGCTTGGTTGAAGTTGGCAGTGCTGTTTGGGCTGAGATCACTGTCCAGCCTCCTGGAGGTGTCATTGTTGTGAGGGCTCGTCCTGGGGAGGTAGACTGTACAGCCTAACCCGGCGGGGGAGTGTGATAGCCTAACAAGGCTTCCTTCCCTGGGTCTACCTCCTCTGTGGTAGTATAGGTAAGGTAAAGGAGGTTGTTCGGTTAGTGTGGGGAGCAGTGAGACCTGGCATTAGGGGAGTGTCTCTGGGACGCCAGAGATCACTGTCTAGCCTCTTGGAGGTGTCGTGGGACCAACTAGACGAAACACCGGTGAAAGGAGGTTCCCACCCGATGACCCCAAAGCTTATCGTAGGGCTTAGGAGGTTATTCACTGAGTGCTGATCCTTTTTTTTTTTTTTTTTAGAGCACAAACTTCTTGTGTTTATTTGAATGAATTAAATACAACGCCAAGACATTCACAGCAGTGTTTTTTTAAGGAAAAGGTGTGAATTGCAACTTGCAGTCCAATTAAGTAATGACATGATATGGGGCAAATGTGCATGAGAGCTTTACATATCTATTCTATTTTATTCCATCACTGGGGTCTAAACTGTGACATCAGTGGTGCTACAGGACGGTGAAGCCTTTACCTATCAGATCCACGTCACGTTTCCAGACTTCTTGCCTCCCTTGGTCCTGGACCATCAAAGTTAATTCCTCTGGGATTGTTGTCAGGAAAACTTCAAATGTCGGATGATAATTTGGTCCATAATCTGAGCGAAATTGTTCACACTGAAAACCAGAAGCACTGTGTCATTTTCAAATAGGTTAAAAATGTTTATCTGGTACTTTCCTGGTTGTGAATATGATTTTAATATACAGCCATCATGATAATTTTGTTTGTAACCATTAGAAGTGTAGAAGTGACTTGACTCACCTCAGGCTGTATTTTGAAGCTCTGAGGTTCACAGTGAAAACTGTAACTTTGACCAAAGCGAAGGAGACAGTTGGAAGCAATCGGGATGTACTCAGCGCCTCTTTGTTTCTCTTCAACCTTCAGTAACATGTCATTTTCATTATTATTAGGTTAATGCTCAGATAGTCAAATCAATTTTACTCATAATAATACATTTAAAAACAAAAAATGTTTAACAGAGTGCTTTACGGAGAAAATTACAATCAAATAAAAGCACAGGCATAATCATGAGGATATAATGTCAGTAAATTAAAGTGTAGAATAAGTAATTCAACAGCATTGCAGAGAAAATGAATAAAAACACATAAATAGTATTTTACGTCACCCGGTATAAACATTACCATTAGTATTTCAATATCAGTATTTAAACATTATTGAAATATATTTAGCAACTATCCCTTTTTAAGCCTCTCTACAGATCCATTGAACAGTGACCAGATGAAATAATGCAATTGTTCATATATGTGTTGCTGGTAACAGGCAGGAATCCCTTAACTTTTGGAAAGTTACTTGTATTTCATCATCATACAGATCACTAGGCATAGGTTTGCCTTTTGTAGCCCATTATTTAAATACCTAGGTATGCTAACAGATAACAACCTTAGTAATCCAAATAAACTTAATTTTTACCTCTTTAGGGAAAAATTTATAAAGACTGGTTGTGATGGATCACTCTGCCAAGAAGTCTTATAGGAAGAGTAAATGAACTTCTAACTTCTCCTGTATTTATTTCATTCACTGCCATTAAATATTCCGCACACCCTTTTAAGAAACACAATGATTTAATTTTTGTGAAACTGCTTAGTTCAAAGAATAAAAAGAACAATTTAGAAATGACCTGTAGAGAGAGGAGGTGTACGGCTTCTGGATTTGCAGTTGGTTTCATTATTTGTTGAGACCATTATTTCACTTGGTTGGAGGATGTGAGTCACCCTCCTGGATGCAAAATGACAGTTACATATTAAAGGTGGAGTAGGTGATTATGGAGAAAGATAATTGATTGCTGAGTGTCACTCTCAAGTTGTCAAACACTGACCCTTTGGTATTCAGCCTGAATACCAACCCGTTTTTATGTTTCTCCAGAATCACCTACTCAACCTGTAAACTTAAAACAACTTTCTTATATTTTCTACTGCAATACTGATAGAAATGTAAGAAATTACGCAAGAAACCCAATCATAACTATAGCTGCTGCGCAGCGATGGGTCAGGTCCAGGCATTTTTAGGCAATCATGAGCAATCTGAGCATCTGTTGGTAATTCATTTTAACAATGATTGATTTGCTTCATAAGTGAAAAACTGATGTTTAACTAGTTGAGCTATGTGCAAAGTGAGAAGCCTCAGATGGTTTCACACTGAAGTATTGACACTGGATCTTTGTGCAAAGTTTGGTTTATTTTCAAGCATGAGAAGGCAGATTTTCTGTCAGAAAAAAGACTTGAAGATGCTGCACAGTGATCAGTCACTCTCAGGCAATTTTAAGCAATAAGCTGGAGCACAAGAAGATGTTTACATTACAATGTGGATTCTGCACCAGTTGAGGCTTGAATCCGCAACCTCTGGAACCTAAGACGGTCATCTACCGCTCTGAGCTAATTGGCAAGTAGCAACTCAACAGTGGCTTCACAAATTGAGTAAGCCATTCACTGGAAAGCAGCCATCCGTGCATGGAAAAGTAGATTTGAAACCACTGTAAAAAAATTCAGTTATTAAGACAAAAATCTGAAAATACTCATATTGCATCTAGACAGCATGGATATTTTGGTAATTTGTTTTTAACAATGATTGATTTGCTCCATAAGTGAAAAACTGATGTTTAAAATTGCCATTTTTACATTGACTCCAATTGTTCATATTAGAGCAAAATTCAAAATGCTGTCAAAAATTCAGTTTTTGAGATAAAATTCTGAAATTTGCCACACATCATCTACCATGACTCTAGACTTTTGTCATTTTTTTCATGAACATTGAAAATTTATTTTGCAAGAATCTGCAGGCTCAATTTTCGATAAATCAAAAATCTGTGTGGATCGTTTGTGTAGGACAGTCTGAAGATGCTCTGTAGCAAGTTTGGTGTCAATTGAGCAAAAATTGTGGGAGGAGATAGGTTTAAGAAGTTTTACAGTTTTTGAAAAAAACAGTGATGAACTTCATAATTTTTAATGGGTTTAAATGTACAAAAGTTTCTTCAGTATTGGGGCTACAGTTTGATGAAAGTTATGAAGTTGTAGCACGTATGGTTGATTTGTTATGAATTTTCAAAGTTTTGAACTTTAGACGCTTGCTGTAGCGCCACCATCAGGACTATTGGCTTGAGTTTACAGCTGAGGATATCTGGCATGAGACTGGACCTTTGTGCAAAGTTTGGTGAGTTTTCACCCATGGGAAGTATGATTTCCTCCGAAGAAGAAAGAAGAAAGAAGAAGAAGAAGAAGAAGAAGAAGAATACCTAGGATTACAATAGTGTCCTGGCAGCTTAGCTGCCTGGACCCTAATAAAGTCAGTTAAAATGAAGACATAATTTCCCTTATCATTATTCACTAATGTTTTGTTCAAGACAATATTTTAATTTTGGACAAATTTAGGTCACTGTTTACTATTAACACCACCTGTTTGATGTATCACAAATGACACTGGCAGACAGAAATACATGAGAGAAACCCAGGGAAAAAAACACTGAAAATGAGCAATCTGAAGATTTACAGTTCAGACTGATTTAGATTCTTACCACAGCATAAGAAGGTTTGTAAATAAAAGACACAAAGTCTGACTGACCTGAATCTCCTTTGTTAAAACTGCTCTGGCTTAAAAAAGTTTAAGCTGATAGTGAGCACATATGACAGATAGCTTTACCTCATTCAGAGGGACATTGCTGGGCAGCAGTAATACATTGAGTACTTGATGCCTTCTGCTCGGAGGTCTGAGGAACAGTAGAACTTGGCAAGTTATTGGCCGTTTGAAGTTCAGAAGCCTTTTGATGTAATCCCAGATCAGACCGAAGGCAGAGAGGTGAGGGACCTTCACAATCACATGAGTGTCTGTAATCTTCAACGGCTTCAAGATGCTCATTCCATCATCAGTGATGTGGACGACAGACAACAGGCCATTAATCAGCAATGCTGTGAAAGAAAAGAGTTGTTATTTTATTTTACTGCTAATAGGTTATTCTGCTGTATTCAGTTCTTACTTCTCGAGTTCAGAAAGATAAAATGAATCTATTGTCATATCAAGGATGTGCCAGTTTGCCTCTGTCTTTTACTCGTCTAATTTACTATTATTTTCCTGTTTCACACATAATCTGTCTGTATGTGTGCATTTAGTGTTAATAAACTCCATTACACTTTTTACACAGTTTTTTTTTGCATGTCACCATATGCAGCAACTGGTAGCACTACACATGAATACAAATCTTTGCACTTTTACTCGTTATTTCTTTCACACTGAAGACAGCAATGTGTTTACCCTCCTTTGTTTCACAGTGTGGAAGGTGGAGCTGACAGACAGCAGCATCCTCTGAACACGTGATTTTGAATAGTGGCCCTGCAGCCATCTTGCCAGCTGTCTGGAGGATGATCTCATCCCATTGGACAATGCTGTACAGCAGCTCCGCCTCCTGGGCCACAACAAACACCACTCCAGTCAAAGCACACCGGAACACACCTCGACCAGGACACCTGAACCTGTAGGACAAAGAAGAACTGATTACAACAAGCTTTCAGTCTGTTAATCTATGATGTGCTGAGTTAAGCCATGCAGACCCTTCACATTTTTTTATCTTGTTTGTGGTGTTGTAAGTGTTTCAGTCTTCCTTTCTGCATGGTCACATGATTCATTCGACCATCCAACAAAAAAATCAGGCATCCTGACATCAAACAAAACCCCAATCTGGCATATATTCCCCTAAATTCTAATATAATTCGAGGAAACAAATTTGGGACTAAAGTCAGGGTTAGTGCACACAACATCTATCAGGCAGACAAAAACAAAATCAATCCAGCTTTTTTCCTGGTATAAAAACTAGACATATGATGCTGCATTACTTAAAAATTCTGGGAACTACCTGACTTTCTGCACAATAGAATGAAGCACCAGCTGCAGAAAGGTGAAGTGTGTGAGTGTAAAAAGTGAAGTGTAAGCACTGCAGTTCTGATAAAGTGTACTGGTGCTTTAAGCAGGGTTACTTTATTAAACTAAATCAAATGAAAACAAAAATAGGCAGTGTAAAATATTTTTAGTAAACTTGAACTAAATAGCCCTGTGATTGTCTGGCGACCTGTTCAAGGTGTACCCTGCCTCACCAGCAACCATAGTCAAATGTATCCCTGGGGCCAGAGCGGGTGACATTGAATCAAATTCAAAACTGCTGGCTAAGGATTTAACGTAGATTTAGATTTAGTAAGATTGTTATTCACGTCGGCGATAATGACACCAGTCAGAGGTCACTATAATGAATGTTGCCTTGGTGTGTGAATATGCAAAAAGGATGTCGGACTCCGTAGTTTTCTCTGGACCTCTCCAAAATCTGTTTAGCCGCATATCATCATTCAATTGCTGGCTGTCCAGGTGGTGTCCAGCAAACAATGTGGGCTTCACAGATAATTGGCAAACTTTCTGGGGAAAACCTGGTCTGATTAGGAGGGATGGCATTAAACCCCAGAGCCCTTTTTAACACCGTCAATAAGCTACTTCAACCAGCTAATCAGTTTCCTTTGTCTCCCTCCACTAAACTGTGCTGTGATTTTATGGACTTTTTCCAGAATAAAATCTCTTCTATTCATCAGCTTCTACAATACTCAGCTACACAAAATCATCCTATCACCACCCCACCTCCTACCAATATTAGCTCTTTGTCAGCTTTCTCTCCTGTCACTGAGCAGACTGTAACAGAACTTGCTTTAAAGTCAAGGTCCACCACTTGTCTACTTGACCCTATGCCCACCCCTCTGATCAAAACCTGTCCGCCTGCTCTCTGTCCCCTGCTGTCACATATAATTAACACTTCTCTTCTGTCTGGCTGTGTTCCCTCTATGTTAAAACTCGCTGCTATCACACCCGTTCTCAAGAAATCTGGCTCAGATCATGATGACCTCCAAAACTACATACACATCTCTAATCTTCCATTTTTAACCAAACTCCTTGAGTGGATTGTAGCCAGTCAGATCCAGGCCCACATGTCCACCAATGACCATTGGGAAGAGTTTTAATCTGGATTTAGGGCTAGACACAGTACTGAGACAGCTCTCACAAAAGTTACAAACGATCTGCTCCTAGCTGCTGACTCTGGCCATCTCAACATACTGATTCTGTTAGACCTCACTGCTGCTTTTGACACTGTCTGCCATAATCTCCTGCTTCACCGACTAGAAACCCTTCTTGGTATCACCTGTACTCCATTATCCTGGTTTAAGTCATATCTCACCAACAGAGTACAGTTTGTATCCATAGACAAATTTAGATCCCCCACATCCCCACTAACCCACAGTGTCCCCCAAGGTTAAGTTCTCGGTCCTCTACTATTCATCATCTATATTCTTCCTCTTGGTCACATCATCCGTCAGCATGGTCTTAATTTTCACTGTTATGCTGACAACACACAATTCTACATTCATTCCAAGCCATCAGACACACTCCCACCATCCAACCTGTTAGACTTCTTAAATGTCATAAACACTTGGATGACCTGCAACTACCTCAGACTTAATCAGGATAAATCAGAAGCCATCATCATTGCCTCCCCATCTACACTCCATAAGGTCTCCCACCTCAACTTTAACATCCCTGGGTTCATCACTTCGTCTGTCACTGAAGTCAGAAATCTTGGTGTTAGGTTTGACTCTACCCTCTCCTTCGACACACACATCAAGAACATCACCAAAACTGCTTTCTTTCACCTGAAAAACATTGCTCGTCTCTGCCCCTCTCTCTCCCAATCTGTTGCAGAAACTCTCATCCATTCATTTGTTACATCCCAGTTAGACTATTGCAATCCACTTCTCATTGGTCTACCCACCCACAGGTTAAAATGACTCTCCTCCAAAGTATATTGTTACAAATTATATTTATTATTAATTTTTTTTTTTTGCTCTGACACATACCAATTACAAGCTACTCAAAACTACTTAGTATGGGTATAATATGCATTTCCTGAATCTTTAGAGTCCTGTGAGTATTCCAGTTTCTGAGTTTTGTGTCCCTGATGTTTCTAGATTCCACGGGGCTTAAAGGAAAGATATATTTTAGGCAAAAATTGGGCTTGAAAGAAAGCCAAGAAGCCCCCCCTTTAAAATGACACCCAACACAATATTATAAAGCATTGAAAAATGTCCTGACTATGAGCCTAAACCAGGATATGCCAAAATTATTTAAATCTAAAGTTAAACAAAGAAGAGTAGTGCATGAAAACCTAATAAAAAATTACAACTTCTTCTGTGACAGAAAGACAAAACAGGAGAATTAAATGTTGGCTGTTAAATTTCAGGTCTCTGTCATCTAAAGCAGTGTTTGTAAACAAATTTACTAAGCCTCACTGAAACCTGGCTGTGTCACGATGAATATGTCAGTCTAAATGAATCCACTCCTCCCAGTCATAATAATACCCACATTCCTCGAGGCAGCGGCCGAGGAGGGGGAGTTGCAGCCATTTTTAACTCTTGTCTTTTAATCAGTCCTAAACCTAAACTAGATTATAATTCATTTGAAAGCCTTTTTCTTAGTCTTTTACATCCGACCTGGAAAACCTCACAGCCACTTCTATTTGTAATAGTGTACTGTGCTCCTGGCCCGTATTCTGAATTTGTATCTGAATTCTCAGAGTTTTTATCCAGTTTGGTAATTAAATCAGATAATGTTATTATTGTCAGTGATTTTAATATTCATGTTGATGTTGATTATGACTCCCTCATATCTGCATTTATCACATTATTAGACGCCATTGGCTTCAGTCAGGGTGTATATAAACCCACTCACTGTTTTAACCAAACCCTCGATCTAGTTGACACATGGAATTGAAATTGAAAACTTAATAGTCTTTCCACAGAATCCCTCTCTATCAGATCATTATGTAATAATTTCTGATTTATTTCTACTCGATTACACGCCACTCAGCAACAGTTACTATACTAGATGTTTATCAGATCGTGCTGTAGCAAAATTTAAGGAAATGGTTCCATCTGTGTTAAATTTAACACCATGTCCCTCTGTAACAGAGGTTTCCCATACTGACTTTAAACTCTCCCAAATTGTCGATAGTGCTGCAGGCTCGCTGTGAACAACACTCAACTCTGTAGCACCTCTTAAAAAGAAGTTAATGAAGCAAAGAAGGTTTGCTCCTTGGTATAACTCCCAAACCCGAAAATTAAAACAAATATCGTGATTGACCAAACGGGAAGAATCTCATTTAGTCTGGGAAGACTCAAAAGGTATAAGAGGGGCCTCTGCAATGTCAGAACAAACTATTACTCAGCATTAATAGAAGAAAATAAGAACAACCCCAGGTTTTTTTTCAGCACTGTAGCCAGGCTGACTGAGAGTCACAGCTCTATTGGGCCTTGTATTCCTTTAGCCCTTAGCAGTAATGATTTTATGAGATTTTTTAATAATAATAATAATAATAACAACTTTATTTATATAGCACAATTTATGCATAAAATGGAACACAAAGTGCTGAACAGAAAAGACAATCATGCCATTTGTTAGCATGAAAAAAGGAATGCCTAGTAACAGCATTAATACATAAAAACACATTTCAAGAGAAAGCAAAGGTGAAAAGGTGTGTCTTGAGATTTCGTTTGAAAGTTTCAACAGATTTAGAGCTCCTAAGATAATGACCCTCAGGTAGACTGTTCTAGAGTTTAGGACCATAATAAGCAAAGGCTGCCTCTTCATGCCTTTTCGTTGTAACCTTCGGAACAATTAAGAGATGTGAATCTGAAAATCTTAGGGACCTTGAAGGCACATAAATTTTGAGTATGTCAGACAGATAAGATGGTGCAAGGCCATTTAGAGCTTTAAAAACCAATAAAATAATTTCAAAATGTATTCTTTGACTGACAGGTAACCAATGTAGTGATTTAAAACTGGAGTGATGTGTGCCCTCTGCCTGTTTTTTGTCAGAATACGTGCTGCTGCATTTTGCACAAGCTGTAACTTAGAAATGGCTTTCTTGGACACACCAGACAGAAGAGCATTGCAATAGTCCAGTCTGGTGGAGATAAAAGCATGAATCAGTTTTTCTGTATCTGCTTGGGAGAGAGACAATGACAAAATTCTAAATATTAGAGGCAAAATTCATGACCTCCTGTCCTCAGACAGTACCTATCTGCCCTCAAACACAGCTGTACGACCTGATATATATTTAGATTGCTTCTCCCAGATTACTCTTCAACAATTGACCTCAATGATTTCTTCATCCAAGTCATCAATGTGTCTCTTAGATCCCATCCCAACTAGGCTATTTAAGGAAGTCTCACTTTTAGTTAACACTTACATATTAGACATGATCATTATATCCTTATTAACAGGCTATGTACCACAGTCCTTTAAGGTATCTGTAATTAAACCTCTTCTAAAAAAGTCCACCCTGGATCCAGAGGTGTTAGCCAACTATAGACCAATATCTAACAAAATCTTCTCTTTCTTTCAAAAATCCTTGAAAAAGTAGTCGCAGACCAGCTGTGTGACTTTCTCCATGATAACTTATTTGAAGAATTTCAGTCAGGATTTAGAGTGCATCATAGCTCTGAGACAGCACTAGTAAAAATTACAAATGATCTTCTGATTGCTTCAGACAAAGGACTCGTCTCTGTACTTGTTTTATTAGATCTTAGTGCCGCATTTGACACAATTGACCATCAAATTCTACTACAGAGACTGGGACATTTAATTGGCCTCAAAGGTTCTGTACTAAGCTGGTTTAAATCTTATTTATCGATCGATTTCAGTTCATTCACATTCACGATTAATCATCTTTACATATTAAAGTCTGTTTTAGAGTTCCACAAGGTTCTGTGCTCAGACCAATTCTATTCACTTTATATATGCTTCCCTTAGGTAACATTATTAGAAATCACTCTGTAAATTTCCATTGTTAGACAGATGATACATAATTGCATTTATC